GCCAAAATCATCACAATTAAAAGAACCAAAGACTTAAACTACTTCAGTCTGTGTGCATTGAATTTATTTAATACACGAGTTTCACAATTTGAGTTGAATTACTGAAATAAATGAACTTTTTCACGACATTCTAATTTATTGAGATGCACCTGTAAATGTTAGAAATGTATTGCTGAAAACGTGTTACAAAGACTGTGAACTACGTAGTACTGAATTGTGGCGTTAGACCGTTAAAAAGTTTTTCACCATTTTTGTGTTCAGGATTTTTTGGGTGGCCTGAACGATGGCCTTTTTCTTGATGACGCATCAAGACCCTAACACTATAATAACTAGAGCACATTAGCATCAAAGGTTCACCCGCTCAAGCGCGAGTTACTGTCATTACCATTAGTTACTACAGCCTACAGTTTGCTTCCTAGCTATGCCTTCATCACATAAATGCATATTACTTGGTTGCGATCATTTACAAAACAGCTCGGTCTCCTTATTTAAATTTCCTAAAAAATTATTATATCAAGAAGAGGTGGATTAAATTTTGTGAAGAGCCACCTTGATGTAGAGCTAAGGATCACCACCAATACCCACCTTTTGTAGTGGACAGCACATTCCAGGGCCCAGTTTATGGCAGGGCCCCTCTCTGACCACAATAGTGGACAAAGGTTTGTTACATTTTGATTGGATCTTGGTGGATTAAAATAAGCAAACTGTCCAACTCCACCAGATAAAGATGCCAGGACAACAGCCTTACACCTCTTAGAGGGCAGGAAGACAACCTTTGTTACAAAGCCCGGGAAGGACAGGACTTCTCATTGGTCAAAATGCAGTTTCTGCGCTTCACCCACCAACAGACTGATTCCTAAGGTTTTAGCCTGTGACTGCCATAAAAATTCCTTAGGACCTCTGGACGCAGCAACAGTGGGTGAGAGAGATCACAGAGTTACACCCAAATCCATTCATATCTATGTTCTCAAACCTTAAATTGATGCAAACTACAACATACACATCTTATACTTATTCAGAGAAATAAGTATTCTCAGTGACAGCAATGTGTAGTGCAACATCTTACACAAACTCAGCTGTTAATGGACAAATGAATCCATGCATGACGGTTCAATCTTTTTCCATCATGTTTGGACAATGTTTCTGGTTTGGTAAGTGAAAAATGCACTAGTAAAACTTTAGTGACAGTTTTCTAAATTTGTGTTTGGACTATGCAAATAACTTCTACAGGAGGAAAGAGGGGTGGGCCACACCATGTTCCCCCACTCTGATGGAAACAGCCAATCACAGCACTGAGATGGAGAAGTGGCAAATTGCAATCTCCTCCTCATTGGAAAGGGATGAAGATACCTTCCCAAAAGACACTCCTTGTTCTGAGTCTGAGTCCTGAAAGGGAAGGGACACTAACAGATCAACAAGTTCTGAGTCTTTTGTCCAGAGAGACTGTAACAGATATCCGTTCTGAGTGTCCCATCCATAGAGACAATAGCAGATACACCGTTCTTAGTCTCCATCCTGCAAGGGTGAGACACTAGCAGATACACTCGTTCTGAGTCTCCCATTCCGAGAGACAGAAACATCAACATTCTGAACCTCTGGCCCATGCGGGAAGAGGCAATAACAGATACCAAGTCCTGAGTCTCCAGCTTGTGAGGCAGCAACAGATAAGACCACTTGCTGAGCCTCCAGCCTGTGAGGAGAGAGATATTCTACGTTTAGAGTCTTTGTCCAGCGAGACAACAACAGATGCAGCACACCTTGAGTCTCCATCCTAGAGAGACGATGTGGATTGACCAAGTTCTGAGTCTCTAGCCCAGAGAGGTAGAAGACATACATTTGCAACAAGGTTAAGCTCCGGAGAGGAAACCTTCACTTCAAGGTACATTTTGCATGTTCCAGGCAAGGACCTTCCTTCTGCACCTACTCCAGGGCCACATCAGCGTGTTCCAGATTTTAGGACCCTTTGGTGCTCCAGGAGAGTGGATGAAGTCGTCACCTCATCGAGTCGACCTCATGAGTCGACTGCTCACTCAACCACAGAAAACATAATTATTACTTATCCAAACCTCTTCCAGAGACCTTGGCATTGTTGTATATTATCAGTATATGATTGCCTAATTTACATTAGATATTATATAGCTGATTACAGTTGATAAATAATCTTTCACGTATTTGTTTGATGCATAATAAGGTTCTTCACCTTATTTGTTTCAGAGTAGCAACAGTTTATCTTTCCAGATAACGTAGCTCTCACATTGCAACACCCAACATAATCACTTATATTTTATGCATCTTATGCACTTTATTCCTTTTTCATTCATGGTATTCATTTAGTAGTTGTCGATTACTCTTGTCTATCTTTTGTTAATAAAATCTATTTTATTACACTTGTGTCTTCCTTGTGTTGATAATACAGTAAAAAGGCTCTACAAGTTAACGATATCTCACAAATAC